CAGCGACGTGAGAATGCCTAGTTTTACGTTTAATAGAGGACTTGAACAAGCGATTACGATTTTTTTTTTCTCTTTCTGAACGTGGATTTGGTTCTGAGGGAGTCAATTCCTGGAGAGATTGCTTCAGCTGTCGCTTGCATTTGACAAAGCGAGGGAGTTGGAATGATCGCGATCACTGAAAGTACGCGAATTCACTTTCAAGGGACGTTTTCTCTTTTTCATTGCACTTTCTTGTTTGTAAACAGCAAATATGACAGCGAAGCCCGTCCAGATCGATCGCTCGTGAAAACTTCTTAGCCCCGCTGCAATACTCCAGCATACATTAATGAAAATCCGTTTATTCTTTTAGGAGTCCAGCCATTATCATTTCGACAAGTCAAGAAACTTGTCTCCTTTGAATATCCTTCCGTGTCGTGGATGATCCCTGAGTTTGTTTATGTTCCACGCTGGTTAATGGCAGCAAGCAGTCATAAGTTTTGATGGCGTTTGCATGTGAGATATCTAGCTATCTGTCAGTGGATGAAAGAAGTTTGTGAAGTTTAGCCTCGTTTTGAAAGTAAAAGGTTTTGGAACTCGGAAATGGCTTGGGTAGATGGATAATTACCCAATGGCCGTTTTTATTGTAAAGATGCATTATCCGTCTGGACGAACTTGGGCAAACATTTTGTAGTTCGTCTAGGTTATGCGTCTCTGGTATAAAGACGGGCACAAGACGCATTATGCGTCCAGACGAACTACCTTTCGTAGTGCGTCGTTCAAGACGTATTTCGAAGGAAAGTTCATCCAGACGCATAATGCGTCTTGTGCCCGTCTTGAGACGCATGACCAGCAAACTACAAATGTTTACTCAAGTTCGTCCAGACGGATAATGCGTCCTTAGTATAAAAACGGCCATAGACGCATTATCCGTCTGGACAGATAATGCGTCCTCTAGTATAAAAACGGCCAATGGCGCTTTAAAAAAAATACGACAAAAGGAATGTTGAAAAGTGTTGCATTAAGTTACTCTTAGTTTTAACATATTTTAATATGTTACCACAATTTTTAATATAGTTTTGAGAAAAGTGTATACTGCCTTTTTGCAGCAAATGCTTATTGGCGCATTCGGATCTTTAGGTAAGTTAGGGGCCCCGATCGCGATTGTGCAGTCCTTACCATAAGATGGGGGGGCGGGGGGCAGCTTCGAAAGTAATGAGGTCCCCCGGGCCGCTCTCTTCTATATCAGCCGTTGACGCCAGCTGGAAAGCACAAAGACGAAGGTTCTAGGAACTGGATAATATTTCCTCAGATAAGATGCAACGCTTGAGTAAGTGCTCTTGACCGAATGCTTTCCTTTTCCCTCGGCCGCTGGTTATTGGGAATGGATAATCTTCGTCAAAATTTGTCAATCGTGTTTTGTACGTCGCGGAACGCTGGTACACAGGAAATCAAATGTATATTAGCATTAATGAGAAAAAAACTTTAATAAACATGAAGAGTTTAAGATAGCCAATATAAAAGTAAAAAAATTTATTGTAGATAGCTATTAGGCGACATATAGATTTGTGAATTAAACGTGCTTGATTTACTTAGTGAATGTTTTGTATTTTCTTCTTGGTTATTACCTTTAAAGCGAGTCTTCACTCCGCATGCCCTTTCCTCTGTAGAGGCCTCTTTTTGTCACAGGGCGGCTGGGGAGACTCGCCACTTAAGAAACGAGAGAGAAACTGGGTCGATTTACTTTCGCAAAGACTTCTGGGAATGTTGCTAGGGCTAAAGGAAAAAAATTGGCCAATAGCTGACCGTCGCGGCCCCAGTAACGATCCCAGAAACATTTGCGGGATGCATTTCGGCTCCAGTTCCCTTTTCGTTTTTCAGTGGCGAATTTAAATTCCTCGTTGTTTTGATCCAGAGTCAAAGATAAGAGGGAGATCCGGCTTCGAAAATCATTTTTCTCAGCCCTGCGGGCTTCAGTCTGGCCTAACAAGAAGGTGAGAGTCCCGGTCCTGGCACGGGCCCGGGCCCGGGCCCCGTCCCTGCCCTTAGATCCACCAATGTCATATATATATATATTAAATATGATCATAACATTTCGTCTTTCTTGAGTAACCACACGCTGATTATAAGTGAGCATCGGCGGAACCCACATCAGATCTTCTTCTGAAACTGTTACGTAACTTTCAATTCCTTCTAAAATTTTTCATCTGATAAACTGTCAAAAAAGCTCGATTCAGTGATTCATCTGCGGATACTTCGAGGTGCGTCCAAAAATACTTTGTCCGTCGTCAGTTTATTTAATTAATCGGATAAAAAGAGCACCTTGTTTATTTCTTTCTAAATCCTCCTTCCGTTTTTAGCGTTTTGGCTGAGTTTATCGGATAAAGCATTCTTGTTCAGCACGCGTGCAGTCACCGCGCTTGGCTGACTTCCGAATGCTCACCGAGATACTAGTATGATAATTTTGGTACAGTGAGACAGGCCATCGCGTGATACATAGAGGTTTAACTCACAATTTTTAATCAATTCTTGCTTCTTGTGCCTTTGCAAAAAAATCAAAAGTGCTACACCTAAATCCTTACTATTAAAAATTTAAGAAAATGCTTTTTTCGTGAGAAGGACTCTTAAACGCTGACAAACGTCAACAAATAGCGAAAACTATAATTTTTATATGTTTGCTTTGCTCGAAATCGCGCGCATTTACAAGGCCCTAAAGCGTTTTGCTGACTTGCAAGGACCCATCTGTTATAACGATGCCCAAAATAAAGGGATGAATCTCATAGTTTATTAGATATAATCCGTGTAAAGTTTGCTTATCATTTTCGCATAAATTATGACCTAAATTTGGAAACCGCTGAATTTCTCGAATTGGGTCTTAGCGATTTTGGTGAAACTCTGTTCAGCGCAAGGCACTAATGCGCACTATGTGTAGCCGAGAGATTTTCACGAAAAAATGCCGCCAACAGCAGATTTTCGACTCAGACCTCAAATGGGCGTGGCATTATAACCACGTGACGTGACATTTACTCCGATCGCCAAAAATTTTATGTTATATTGTAGATTGATCTATATGTTATCCATTCTATGTGTTAGACTTACGATAAAAGTAAAGGTGGGGATACCAGAGAGCTTCAAAGTAGGATGGTACCCCCCCAAAAAAACTGGGTCGAGTCACCTTAATTCACAAATACAAGTGCCAAGCACTGATTTCATGCTTACTAGGTCTCTGTAATAAATTTCGTCACTTATAAATTAGCTTTCTTGGAGAAACTAGACTACGAGTAGTCCCCATTTTTTTCTCACGGTTAGTAGAGCGAGCGAAACGCGAGGGCGCGTACGTGGGTTGATTTTCACGCACGCTCGCGTTTCGCTCATTCTACTATCCCTGAGGAAAAATAAGGACTACTCGTAGTTTAGGAGAAAACATTCTTTTCTTAATTAATATATCTATTTTAAATTACCTATACAACCCTTCCCCCTCTCACAACACGCTAGGCTGGCCACGCACACCACTGTGCTATCATTCTATTCTATTCTCAGCCCTACCCCATCTCACAACCCACCAGGTTGTATGTGAAAGGTTGGCTCGCTCAAGATAGCTCAGTTAGGCGGTACCCAATTACTATTTATAAATATAAACGGCCTTTTTTCAGACGTGTCTTGACACAAGACCTTTTAACCAGGATGTTAACTGGTGAAGTGAATAAATACTTACAACCACAGGCTGGATGGATGTTTACAACCTCAGCTGTTCAGCATGTCTTACAGCAAGGAGCCCAAAAGTGCGACCTCCTTTAATTAACTCACATTCTTTCATGCAGGCATTAACCAATTAGAAGTCGAGGACAGTTTCCAACTGGCTTCTGACTGGATAAAATCTGTACGAAAGAATGTGAATAAATCAAAAGCGGTCACACCTGTGGGCTCCTTGCTGTAAACAGTCTCTGTAAGTGTTGCACTTGTTTCGATCTTGGTTTTATGTACAGATTTGACCTTGTCATATGAGGTGAAAAAGGGCTTTCGGTCCAGGCGAATTTATTAGGAAATTTAAATTTGTCTTTAAGTACTTGAGTAAGTCTCAGATGGCAAAAACCACTAGCCCTGTTCTATTCGCCACTTTGAGGTTGCGTGCAAGACCGGGTCGGCATGGTTGTCAAGTGCATTGTGGGACTGTTTTGGGGGACGCATTCACAACATGGCGGCACATTTGTCCCCCAAAAACAGTCCCATAATGCACTTTGACAACCATCTCGACCCTGCAGTCTCCGGCGCAACCTCAAAGTGGCGAATCAGACAGTCGACTTTCCTTGCACGCTGCAGCAAGGTGAAGACCTATCATAGCCAATGATGTTTTTTTAAAAAACTTTTCAGTAATTCAGGAAGAAAATGCCAAGAAAATTAAAATCTATTGAGTATTTTCAATTTTGATTTAATGTGACTGAGTTTTTCCAAGAGATCATAATTTTGTTGGATTAGGGGAGGGGTTGGTGGGGCGTGCCCTGTACCCAAGGTAGGGTATCTTAGGTCGGAGTTTTTCGCGCTCGGCAAGCCTTTAAGTTTCAAACCCATGCCAAAACGTCCACCAAGTACCCCATTACAGGGTCTCTTAGATAATACCAAAACTGGCCCTATCGCTTTTACTCCTGTAGCCTGCTAACAGGCGTTATTTTTTTCGCGTTTTTTTAGGCGAGCGAAGGCAAGCGCGAAGTTAGCGAGGAGTGCCAGACGGTGGAAATTTCTCTTCGCTTGCCTCGCGCTTGCCTTCGTTCACCTGAAAAACGCGGAAAAAATAGCCTGTTAAGCAGGCTATATATAACTCCTGGGCCAAGATTATCTTTTTTTTAATAGGTGGAACAGTTTATGAAAAAACTACACCAGCTCACTGGAAAGAAGGGAACACCTTCTCTCTTAAAAAGCAAAAGCCACGTCTAATCAATGTCTCTGTTGAATCAATGCGCTCACTTTTGAGACTTCCCATATTGACAATAAAATTAAAAAAGGCTCATACTCGGTGTAAAAACCTGTGAACCTCACGAGTGACGTGATGTGTTGGTTCTCTCCTTTGCTCCGGGAGGTTTTTCTCTGGGTACTCCGGTTTTCCCCTCTCCTCAAAAATCAGTATTTCCAATTCCAGTTTGACCAGGAATCAGGAAGACGATGGACCACCTAGTAGAAGTGCTACTTGTAAATCGTTATCGCTATTTCCGAGTGACGTAAAACAATTAATACAAAGAAGCCAGTGAGAAGTCGACACAATAGGTCAAATAGAGCCAAGGAAAATAATAGCTAGAAAACAAAGAAACACTTCACAGGCTTTTACACCGAGGATAACCCTTTAAAAACCCTTCGTACAGTTTTATCATGGAGTTTATTTAACAGCGTCTACTCCTGTAACAGAGAAATCAGTCTTTACCATTTTTTTTTCAAAAACAAGCGCTTGTCAGATATCATTTACAGGAGCAAGATTTCACGACTTTGCCATTTTTCCCTTTACGTTTTCCTTT